AGTCAGACATAAGATATCCTTGCAGACTAAGGGGCCTAGGTGGGCATATATAGACATGTATTTATTATGATAAACCCCTTGAGATGCACCGTCTCGTTTTCAAGGGGGTCCCGACCAAAGCAACGTCTTACTTACAGACATGGACAAAATAACAGAAAGCAAAGCATGAGAAAAAACAGGACACGTACAGTTTGTTAAGTAAAATTCATGAATTACAATCATTACAATTTGACAAAAGGCATGTGATTACGGGCAACTACACAAACATGAGCATTAAGAGTGCTGTGTCTGACCTGCAGCATGGTGTTGGGCATGGGTGGAGGAGCTGGAGGAAGAGGAGGTGCTGCTGGGGCTGGAGGAAGAGGAGGTGCTGCTGGGGCTGGAGGAAGAGGAGGTGCTGCTGGGGCTGGAGGGGGGGTCTCTGGCACTCGGCTCTCTGCAGGAGACGGGACTGAGGCCTGGGACTCCTGGCTGGCCGGCTGCTCCGGGGACAGAGCCTCACTGCTGTCCTCCTCCAACACTTTGGGGTAATTCACCTGGCCTACTGAGAGACAACAACAAGCCCTCACTGCTTACTCACTTTAACAGTAACAATACAATGTTTATCATCCTTTCTCTGCATTGACCTCTTTCGGACATGTCCATTGAGGCAGAAATGCTCTTAAACCAGGGTTGTCCAAACATTTTTTAATCGGCCCTCATCAAAAGTATAATGGAATATGGCCCACAAAGGAAACTTGTGCTCATCTTATATTGTACTTCTTAACTATAACTGTCAAAATATATTACACCGTGTCAGGAAATAATTTGCCCTGCATGTCCTCCTTCGCCCTCTGACGCAGCTGACCAACCTTGAGCAGCTGTTATCTCCCATAAGGAGGGGCTGCCCTAGCAAGTTGTTGTTGTTACCAGTTTGTGACCGGGCAACTCTCGGTCAGAGATAGTTATTGCTGTGGGACACCTGGAACACATTCTTCTCGAGCCATAAGCGACAACAGATGTGATTCAGTGTCCTCAGCTGTTTAGTCCATCTATTGAAGAATGTTGATTATCACACTCTGAACTAGTCAAAACCTGGAGCTACAGGAGGGCTCTTCAGAATTGATTGTGGCATCTCAACCGTGCGGTCAGACCCGTGACATGTCTTGTGATTTCTCCGGCCGAAGCTCAAAATAAACCATCAGTGTTTGCCATCAAAGCTCCAGCTCTCCTCGTGTCTCTCTGAGTCCTGACTCCTATTACTTACCCATTACAGGACTGCCTTTTTCCACCTCAAAAACATTGCCCGTCTCCGCCCATCACTCTCCTCCTCTGCTGCTGAAACCCTGATTCATGCATTCATCACATCACGACTCGACTACTGCAATAGCATCCTACGGCATACCATCCAACCTCATCAATAAACTCCAACATATCCAGAACTCTGCTGCCCACCTCCTCACCCACACCCGCTCCCGAGACCACATCACTCCCGTCCTCCAGAACCTCCACTGGCACCCCGTCTGTCAAAGAATCGACTTCAAAGTCTTCCTTATTAGTAACAAAGCCCTCAACAACCAGGCCCCCCCCGCTACCTCACAGACCTGCTGCACCACCACACCCCTTCCCGCTGCCTCCGCTCATCAGAAGCCAACCTCCTATCCATCCCCACCCGCACCAATCACCGGACCTGGGGGGACAGAGCCTTCTCCGTCGCTGCCCCCTCCCTCTGGAACTCACTCCCACAACCCATCAGAGACGGCACTGACCTCACCACCTTCAAAACACTCACAAAAACTCACCTCTTCAATCTGGCTTTTAATGTGTGATTGTTTTTGTATTATTTGACTTTAACTATATATTTATTTGTTGTTCTTTTCACTATATCTGTAAAGCGTCTTTGAGCACCTGTAAAAGCGCTAACAAAATAAATCTATTATTATTATTACTTCAGAAGTTCCCCCCACACACAGTAGTACTCATGTGTTAATAAGACCACCTTTCAAATAAATTCAGTCAAGTTGGAAACACTTTCTAACATATCTTAGTTGATAAGAAAAAAGCCCAATGACTTATTTACCTAACAATCTTGAAATACACCCTTCATATTTCTCCTTATTATAATCAATCTGAGCTTCTGTTGTAAGGGATGAGCTGCCAACACTCACAAGCATCATTCACCATGATTGATTTTGCTAACTTATAACTGAACTTATGAGGCCATATACCTCTAGTGAGCGGCCCAGCCCTTCGTATATTTCGTATAAGTTTGGACACCCTTGCTCTTAAAGGTCACCTATTATGCAAAATCCACTTGTTCATGTCTTTTATAAATAAAAACGTGTAAAGAGATTCTGAAAGTTTCAGGAACAAAGATTCTCTTGTTATTGTCAGTGTTTCTCATCCTTTCTCTGCAACAACCTCTTTCGGACTGGCTATCATCACTGTTCTCTCACCGATTATTGCCTGTTTAACGCTGGAATCCACGGGCAGGATGTTTTTCTCCACCAGCTCCATGGGGCCGGGTCTCTGGGAGATCATTTCGTTTAAGTTGTCGGCAAGCCGGGCTCTTTTCAGCCTCATCTGGGTGGCCTGTAGTGATGGTTCTGCTCCGGTCTCTGAGGAGAAAGTGAAAAGATGTCACACAATTGCTCGAATCAGTCGTAGTGTTGACATTCAAATGTGTAAATCTCCATTTGAACGCTGTGCAGCTTCCATTTTGTTTGCATGTCGATTCTCTGTATTTGTGTACAGTTGCAGATAATATTAAGGCTCAGTATTTTCCCTAGAATTAAAAACGCCACATGGTCCTTAATATCTTCTGATCCTGGGTTTCACCTAACTTAGCCTTTCTTCACACACAGAGCGACAGGTGAAGCAAACAGGCTCAGCTTTAGACCACTTGTGCGAGTTGAATAGTTTGGCATGCAGTTCAAAACTTTATTTAAATGGGAATTCAACTCTGAGTGTTTCTTTGAACCACTAGAAGAGAATATCTGGAGTAAAAGGCAGTAGCTACACGTAAAACCCTGTGCGGTGGGTTTAATTTGTGCCTATGTGAACCTACTAGATAATAGTGAAAATAGATGAATAGACATGTCTGTAGTAAAGACTAGAGAATGACTGGTACCTTGCAGGATGTGCATCCTGATCAGCTCTGCTCTCTCCGGACGGCTGCGGATCTTGTGCTTGAGGAAATTCTCCGTCTAAATAGAAAGAAAAACATTCAAGTTAATCCTCTTTTGCTATTCCAGGAGTGTGTTTTCTGAAACCACAGTTAGCACTTTATTTCCAAACGCTGTTCCGTACCCTGGCTCTCTCCAAGCTGCGAATCTGCCCATGGAAAGCAGCTGGGCTCTTCAGAGCTGCAACACACAACATTTTCATTAATGCACTAAGTGATAGCACAACTTTTACACTCGTTTGCAGAGAATAAATGACAAGATACTGTGTTTTCTTGCATGTTATCAACGCTATAAACCGTATTTAATTTTGTCTTAATTTACATTATTTTATATTCTGTGCTTGTACATATCATATTCTATTTAAATGAATATAGACTTTTTATTTTGTATTTTCGGAGGTCATAACATTTTCATTGCCATTTCTACACTGTAGCTTTGTGCATATGACAATAAAACCTTTGAATCTTGAATGTTAAATGTGGTAATAAGTGAGCTTTAGGTGCCGTCAGGTCCATTCAGTCTGAACACGATGTTAAAGATAAATTATCTAGATAAAAATAGATTACATTTTTTGTATTATTTCAGATATCTGGGTTCATTAGCAGGTCTATCAGTGATGGACAGCTGACTCACATGGCATGATGCCCTGATCCACCAGCTGCTCGCGGGTCCGCCTCTGCTGAAGCCTCAACTGCAGCACTGAAAGAAGAAAGAAGAAATGATGTTAAATAAAATAAGAGGTAAAACCGGGGAAAGCACACAGAAGAATATAAATATATAAAGGGAAAATAAATAGAGAAGAAATGACATCGAGATGAGAAGGTAACCACATACTGACCGCTATCCTCCTCAAACACATCTCTCACTTCCTGCTTACTCGTCATTAGGTCGACAACATGCAAGTTATCATACCAGTCGAGCACATTGAAATACATTGTTTGCACACATAGGTGCATGGTACTGTAGTGGAACTATTTCTGTGCTGGCATATGAGGGACTTGTTTTGATCTCACACCTATAAGGTAACTATTGCAACTTCAGTTTTAAGAATGGAATAGTGTAACAATTCATTTCCCCGTAAACATCTCTTTATTACCAGGTGCAACACAGGTAGTGTCGTCACGATACTGGAAATTAACATTTCAAAACAATACCTTATAGAAACAGCCGCATTGAATACCGGTTTTGATACCACAGTGAGAAATGGACTAATTGAAAAAAGGCTTATAAAACAAGGCCATTGTTTTCACAGCGCTGTATGAGTTTGTAGAGTGTGTGTGTGTGTGTGTGTGTGTGTGTGTGTGTGTGTGTGTGTGTGTGTGGAAAGCAATAAAGCTCAGCTGGTACTGGTGTATTGAGAAATATAACATTTGTATTGAAACCATTTCAAATATTCGGAAATGATGTGTTTATATTTTTGAACACTAATCTCGATCCTTCCGCTTCAAGATGCTACCCCAAAAAAACAACATCACAAGGCTATCAAGAGATGCAAAGACTGACAACAACCCACCAAAGTCTATTATCAAGTTGTTTCATTAACCTGCAACAATGGCTACAGCATTAGCCGAGGTGAGTTGAGGAAGTAGCATAAAGAAAAAAGAGTGCTCACCTGTTCTGAACCTAGTGCAGATGGGGGTCTCTACCTCCATACAGGCCATGGTCTGTCTTTATATAAACAAGCCTTTTGATCAGTCCAAACACTGGGGGATTAAGCCATTAGATCCCAACGCCTTTGTGTTAGAGCCCAACAGATGTAGCTTATAGTCATATCCTCTCAGCTGCAGTGCAACATGACCGGCCGAATGCTTCTACGAATTAGAGGAGCAACATTAGGCCCATCCTCTATTCCTCCCAGACTACATTTTTTTTTTACTGCAGCCACAACCCCGTCCTCCTCCCCCTTTACTTCCCTCCCCTCACTCAGCAAAGTTTAGAACGGGTTTTTATTCTGGCTGTAGGCGATACCAACATACCCTGATGTGATGTCTACTCTGGCTCCTACTGAGGGACAGTCTGAGTCAGCACAATAACCACTGCATCTTAAAGGGGCCCTATTAACCTCGGGGCTTTCCCTTTCCTGTAGTGTGTTATATAGGTTTGTGTGCATGTTAATGGTCTTCAAAGGCTGCCTGAAACTCCTCCATTGGACCCCTTTGTTTACTTCCATAAGTTATAACATACAGACATCACTATGTAACACTCGCGCTCCAACACATGTGATAGGCCTGCAGGGTCGGGACATCTCTAAACCGGTTAAACAACCAAAACAGAGCCGGCCAGCTAACTCAATCAAGAGCAGACCTGGGCTCTGGTTTCAGACAGAGGGGTGAAAAAGGAGGTGCTGCCAAAAAAAAAAAAAGCAAAAAAAACAGGCAGTACGAGACAAATAAGAAGCTTTTTTGAACATTAACGCATGGAGACATGTAGAGACACTACATAATGATATCACACCTGAACATCAGCAGGATAGGACTCCTTTAAGGTAGAGACACTACAACTACTAGATAATCACCATGAACATCAGCAGGAGAGGACTCTTTAAAGAGTAGAGACACTACATACTGATATACACCTGAACATCAGCAGGAGAGGACTCTTTAAAGTAAGAGACACTACATACTGAGAATACACCTGAACATCAGCAAGGAGAGGACTCATTTAAAGTAGAGACACTACATACTGATATACACCTGAACATCAGCAGGAGAGGACTCTTAAAGTAGAGACACTACATACTGATATACACCCTGAACATCAGCAGGAGAGGGACTCTTTAAAAGTAGAGACACAACATACTAATATACACCTGAACATTAGCAGGAGAGGACTCTTTAAAGTAGAGACACTACATGACTGATGTACACTCTGAACATCAGCACCGGAGAGGACTCTTTAAAGTAGAGACACTACATACTGATATACAACCTGAACAATCAGCAGGAGAGGACTAAGTATAGACACTAATATGATATATACCCGAAAATCAGCAGGAGAGGACCTCTTATAAAGTATGAGACTGATTGATGTACCTAATAATAAGCTAAATAGGGCCTCTGTGGGGTATTTTTTTACCCGGTGAGTTGTTTTCTTGAAGTATCTTTGTAATTAAAATGGTTTATCATTTCATAATGTCCAGCTATTCCTCACAAAAAACATGTTTGGGATTTCATGCCATCCCAATTTTGAATTTAGCATTTTAAGAAATTGTAGTTTTTAGTATAGTGACTACCCCCAAGCTTCCATAGAGGAGTCCAAAAATAGATCCCGCATATGCATGTTCTATGTGAAAAACTTTTTTTTTCAAAATGTAAAAAAAAATTCAAAATAGTGAAAAATTAAATATAAAATATTTCTAGTGCGAACCAAAATATAATACGAAATATTATAAAAGTGACCAAAATGGCATAAAAACACATTATTCTAATACGGCTCCTTTTTGACCCACTTATGGAAGAGTGTAGGGTCCAGTCACTCGTGTATCTAATACCTCATTCACACCAACGCAACTCCGGTTCAAGCTCCGTGCTAGAGCTTTTCAGGTTCAGAACCGGTTCTTTGGTTTAGCTCCGGCTCTTTCACACCGCCCAGAGTCCGACTGGTGCTGCGTCATTGCGTCATCGTTTGCGTCATGACGTAACCGTTTGCGTGCCTGCTTCATAAAGCCAAACCGCGCGGAAACCCCTCACAGCTCACACCGACAACAACAACAATGGCCGATTGTGCTCCAGCTTCCTCTGTACCTTTTCGGAAGACCAGATTCCCAGTAGGCAACTGGTCTCTTCAGTGGACCACTGCTGCTTGTTAAGTTTCTCCATCGTTGTGTACAAGCTGGATAAAACGCGGGCTTTTTGTTGTTGTTCAGGAGTTGATCCCGCCCCTGCCCCTGCCCCCGCCCCGACGTAAGCGTGACGTATGCTGTGCTTTTGCTCTGGCCGGACAATTTTTTGGTGCTTGAAACGAACCGGATTCCGGAGCTAAGAGGCTGCTCCGCTGCGGTGTGAACTCGAAAACCCGGTGCTTTTCAAGCTCCAGCTCCGAACCGGCCCTGAAACACCGTTGGTGTGAATGAGGTATAAGGGTTAAAGCTGTAAAGACTGTTTTTAGGCTTTTATGTTGTGTTGCTGAGCCGACAAGATAAGGATGTGTCACATTAAGTAAGAGGAGGTGCTCTAATTCAATACTGACCATAAGTACACACACTTCCCCATTCACAGGAGGGGATGCATCAACATTTACAAGGGAATACAAGCTTACTCTCCAACAGGAAACAGCTTGTGCCCCCTTCATCAACGTGGTGATAAAACACAACATCTTTCTTCCAAGGTAATACCACAGATTGCGTCATCACAACGGTCATATATCCAAATGACCTAACTCTGTCTGGGAATACTGCTGCTTTAAAACCAAGTTCAGTTATGGTTAAACTTTTACACACGTTGTCTACAGAAAATATACTCTGGTAGACATTTTACAGGGCTTGTTGTAAAGGCGCTATACATCCTTATCCTCAAATTCACTCAGGGAATAGCTGGAAAAAAGGTATGCAGTAAGTATAGACTTCCTGTCAGTGTCATTGTCCTGGGATCCTCTGGGAAATGCTGCTCGGCCTGACAAACACGCTGACCTGTGACCTGTTCTGGCTGAGAGAGGTTGATGACTGAGATGCGTTTGCACTCACACGCAGAGAGCAGGTCAATGGAAGAAAAACAGGCTAGAATAAGAGATGTGTTCGTTTCACCTGAACACAATATCTAGACGTTGATTTAAAACCTGTTGAACAACCGAAACAGGACAAGTTGGCCAATCATAGCTGATCAAATGAAGCTAACGAAGAATCCGGGGTATAAAAAGACCCAGAATTGACGTGTATATAGACATTCAATTCAATTCAAAACCTTTATTTATCCAGGTAAAATCCCATTGAGATCAATGATCTCTTTTTCAAGGGAGACCTGCAGCAGTAGGTTCCACAAGAAGACATAAACAACAGAACAACAAAAGGACATCATACAGCAAAATGTACAGGGATTACAATTTACATATTTAACCACAAGTACAGGTACCAACAGCATCTGATTGTGTAGCATCCAACCGAGCTTTAAAAACATGTAGTGGTACTAGCTTGGTAATTGTCCATTCTTTTTGCAGACTGTTCCATGTTAGTGGAGCTGCACATCTAAAAGCTTTCTTCCCTAAGACAGTCCTAGCACTTGGCACATTTAATAAAACCACAGCATGCGATCTCAGGCAATAAGTACTTTCAATTCGCAGAGAGATCAGGGAGCAGATATAAGATGGTAGTTTATCCAACATGGCTTTGTAAATGAAAAAGTACCAGTGACTGAGCCTCCGTACAGTAAGTGATGGCATAACCGTCTTGGTATACAGGGTACAGTGATGCGTAAGTGCTTTACAATGTGTCAGAAATCTCAGTGCACTGACATGATGCAACTTGTTTGACATTTATGGAAATACACTTGTTTTTCTTGTCGAGTTAGATGGAAGTGTTATCACCACTGTGTGTCATAGTCTAGCATGAAGACTGGGAACACAAGAGATCAGCTAGCTTATCTGTGTCCAAGGGGGGCGAGAGAATCCGCCTTCAAGCGCCTCTTAAGATCACTAATTAACATCTTTTGTTTAATCATTAAAAAAAACAGTCAAAAGTGTAAACACATTGTGATGTAACCATTCAACCAGTGGAGACTCCAGGAAGTCAATGTGTTTAGCAATAAAAAAGTCCCTGTTAATCTACAATTTGCCATTTTTACACTTTGTTTTAGTAAGAATGAAATACAAATGTTTAAAGTTATTCTCGTTACAACAATCTGTCTAAGTCCTGTCTCAAGTACATTTCAATCTTTAGAGCAACTGTACTTTTATCGTACTTTCAAGATTATTAATATGATATATAGATTAGTTTATAAATGATGGCAGTCTTTTATGAATAAGGCTACTAAGCAGTGGCGGGCCGTGCATTTCACACCTAGGCCTTCAGTGATGTCCGACACAGTCCTACCTGAATTATTGTTTGTGGACAGGTGGTAATGCAAGTCTGTGTTGTTCTCAGCAAGCAAAGAAAGAAGCTCCACGTAGTTTTCTCTGTTTCTGGACTCGGCGCTTTCATCATGTCCCCTAAATGAAAGTTCCTGTTTACCCAAAAACAGGACACAATCAATCAGTCTTTTCAATATTTCCCTATTTTTGTTCACCCTTTCGTTGTGGAGCTCCGTTTCCCGTCGCACTTGTTCGTTGAGCTGTAGATCCACTCGGGTGTCCCCAAAGGTTTTCAAAAGCACCATTGCTTGTAAGTGCCCAGCCGTGCTTTGGTGTCTCGTTGCTGCCTTGGTTAGACAACTCAAGTTTGCAAATCCAGTGTGGCTCCAAACACCAAATTGATCATTTGCAAATAGCAGGCATTCCCAGCAGTACAATTTGCAGTGCCTCTCGGAGGCTGTGAGCCAGGGGTACCGCTCGTAGTTAGTGATTTGAAAGTGGCGGACAAACCCTTTTCCCCGCTGTGATAGGCTCGCTAGCGTCGGGGTTGGCCGTTCTCTTCTCACAATGTCTAGCTTTTCTTGAAAAGTTCGTCTTGAAAATGGCGTTGTAATTATATCTGCGACCAAATCGATCTCTTCCCCTCCTTCAGCCATTGTGGGTTGAAAAAAAACCAGCTTGTAGAAATCTACACAAATTAGCTCGAACAAATTCAAGTTCAGTTTGCTAGCTCTACATAGCTCTGCCTCTCAATAGTGCGTATCCAATCAAAAGACGTGCACGTGCTGACGTCATCGTACGCCTGCTAGCTGGCCCGTTGTCGCCAACTCAAAATCTGATTGGTTAACGCCACAGTTTTTTTTTCCGTTCACTTTAAGCTACAGGCGCCCGCACTGTTGATTCTGAAGGCCTAAGGGCAGATTTCTTGGACCCTGGCAACACATTATGGCTGAAATATGATTGGATAAAAGCTCTAACATAAAGGCTAGCCCTCCAAATCTTGTTCTGAGGCTGGAAGCAGCGCAACCAAGAGGAAAGCTATGAAATGAAAAGAATAGACTATGGGGAATAATTTAATACATATTTGTGGAAAAAATATATCAAAATTAAATTTATATTCTGATGATGTTTAGGCCAGCAGAGAAGGCCTTGCTGGCCCTGACGGCCCACCACTGCTACTAAGTAATATATTAAGTGTTAAAAATGAGCTCCACCTTTACCAGATGCAACATTAAAGTAATAAACACATGAATGCATGATGGTTCAGTCTGTAGGCCTTCGGACCGAAGGGTCGCCGGTTCTCGTCCCGATCGGACCAAAAAATACGGAGTGTTGACTGGAACTGGAGAGGAGCCAGTTCACCTCCTGGGCCACTGCCGAGGTGCCCTTGAGCAAGGCCCCTAACCCCCAACTGCTCACTGGCGCCGGCTAGAATGGCTGCCTCCGCTCTGACCTCTCAACTGCATGTTTACATATAACTGTGTGTGCATGTTGTAAAAAGTGTGTACTTTATTACCTGTATAAAAACGCGTGTGTGTACGACAGAGTGGAAACTGAATTTCCCCCTTAATAAAAAAAGGTCCATCTTCTTCTTCTTAATTAATGAAGTAATACAAGCCTTTGCAGACCATTCACAGTGCCTGCACAACAACAACAACAACAACAACAAAACACACACTACGGGAAAGGGAAAACCCCAAAAAGCATAATAGAGCCACTTGAAGTAAGAGTTTGGATGCAGGAATTGTACTTGTAGCAGTATTTCTACACTTCAGTATCACAACCTTTACTAACAGCAGCTCTCTACTCGTCCTTTTCGACCTTTCGACAAACAAGTGAAGTTATCTCAGACACCCAGACCTGTCCGGATGGTTGACAGATTAACACCTGTGTGTTTAAACCAATACGAGGGAGGGGAAGTATGTGGTGGGCAACGTGCTGGGGATGGCTCGCAGAGTGGAAAGTATGAGGTGTGAGTTCTCACTAGGAGGGAAATGACAAAAGCCCAGATGATGAGTGGGTGCTACTACTGTTGGCATTCCTCAAAAATGTTCCAGACGTGTTGCAGCGCTCCTGCACACAGACCCAAATCCTACCATTATCCCAAATGTGTTTCATCCACAGCTCTGGCTGGCGTTTGTGACACATGGTTGATCTCATCGTGGTGATGTATATATGCACTGATCTGATCTCACTACACCATCTTAGCCCTGAGTAGGAACTGGCCAAAGCAGCAGCGGATCTAACCCACTCCTTAAGTCTGTTAATCGTGTTCCCATCCATCAGTGTCCCGTAAAGCTGCCAGAACGACACCCAGGTCCTGAGAAGCCGACACTGCAGGAACACTGATGGGAGTTTCAGGGGAGAAAGTCTCACTTTAACGGCCCGTTTTGAGATTAATAGATCATTTATTCAGTACGTGCCTAAAGGGATTGTTTTTAACTGGGTTGCATGAGGTAGATATCCACATAACGAAATAGAAGTAAAGCAATGCACTGATGTGGACAGAGGCAGCAGCGAAACCTATTTATGTCCCATTAGATCTTTGTTTGTATCAGAGTCACCCCTCGATTCCACCGGGTCCGTCTGCGTCGCGGTTTTGGTCCGGCCTCCTCCGGCGCCATACCCACCGGGAGCGTCTTGTGTGCCGGCTCGCAGTTTTTGTTGATTTGGGCATATTTCCTGGACAGGCTACTTCGTACAGACACAGTTAATAATAATTGTAATAGTCCAGTTATAAACGACATGAATCAAAGATGTGTTGCTGTATTTTAGTGGTAAAAAAATGCATTCATCATCATAACTATTCTTTATATATAATTGACACAGTGCCTGTAAGCCGGAGGAGAACGCTGGCTACTTGAAAGACTACAGAGGGATAGGGTCTGCAAATTAGTTTATTTTGGGGATTGACTGAATGCTCTGACCGGTCCACTTCCTGCCCGGCGCCTCTGCAAAAAACCTTTTAATAGCCTTCATTTTCACTAAATTGATCAACTTTTAATACTTTTTAAGACCCCGCGGACCCCCTGCTGTCGTCACACTCTGCTTACCTGTGGTGAAAAGTAACTAAGTACAGTTTCTTGAGTACAATCCTAAATACATTTTGAAAGCAAATCGTCTACTTTTTCCTGACTGACTTTTTATAAAGGTATCTGCCCTGCTGAATGGCGTCTTTTGGATAGAAGGAAGTGTAAAAGGTATTTTCCGGTCACTCTTTCTTCATGGCACCCTGTTATAATGTATATCCTATCCCAACATGCCCTCACAGACGTGCACTACATCAGCGTCGTGTCCTCACCATTCTTGCGTTCGTTGAGCGGAGGCAGCGGCTGCAGCGACAGCTCCTCCATCTCGTGGGTCACCGCCTCGCTCTGAGGGCTCGGCAGCAGCAGGCAGGACATCTCAAAGTCCCCCTCGACTGCCAGCTGAGACGCCTGGAGCTCCATGTCGCCTCGGTGGGGGGTCACCGTCCCTTTGGCTGTGTCTCGCTGCTACCTGTGTGGAAACAAGAAGACATCTAGTAACTAAAGTAACTCACTGTAGGTAGTATAAGCACTGCAGGAGGCAAGTTGATTATATTCTATTTTATTGTATTTACTTGCACTATTATCAGTTATATTGTGTTGCACTGTTGGAGGAGCCTGCGACCTAAGAATGTCATTGTCATAACTACGCTGTAGCGATGTACGAATGACATTAAAAGCCTTGAATCCTTGAAGAAATTGCATATTTCAACACAAGGCAATTTAAAGTCCTTTACAAAAACTATAACATTAAAAGCGTTAAGAAATAATGCAACAGAACCATGCGAAGAAACGCTATGGCGTCAGATCAGTTTTAATATAAATGAAAACCCAAAGAATGACTTTAAAAATCTATATAATGTATATATATATTTATTTTCTCTCACAGATAGTTTTTTGTTATAAATTACTTAAAAAATATATAAAAACATCCAAGTTTAAAATATATCATTCCGACCCAGACATACATATTTCTTGTTTTAAATACATGTGAAATATTTGTTGGTATATATAATATTTTTTTTAAACAAGAAATATTTATGCGGGGATGAGAAATATATTTGTGGATTTTTTTATATAATTGGTTTATTTTTTTTATTTGTCGATCTTTTTTTTATTTGTCGATTTATTTTAACATTTATATACAAAGATAAATATCGTGTGTGCACATTGAAAACACATCACTGCATGATTTTTTTTGTGGGCTCCTCATGACCATCAGTAATCCAGAATAATACCCATCATCCTGCAGAAATGACTCCTTCACCAAACTGCTGAAATGTGAAAGGGTGGCATTTGATTAAAGCCATCTGGAAGAGCTCAGTCGCAGCCCAAACGATTCATTAAACGACCTGGCTATTATGCAGAATAATCGCCTCAAACCGCGGGAGAAACAACACCAATCTGTGCATGAATGTTCTCTCTGTTCCGTCAGGCTTCAGAATCGGTTATATGACGTCTCCGTGGTGGTTTCAAGCGAGGGGAACGGGAACATTTTGGGGATAAAAAACAAACAGTTAAGTATCCATGGCTTCCCAACAGCCTCTTAACTGGCAGAGGACATACTTGCTATTTATCGCTCTGCAGCAGCACCCACATGTTGCCTCTAACCGCCCTGATGTGTAGACTTTGGCTGAGGAGCACTTTGTTCCTATAGACTGCTTTTAGTTCTCCCTGTAGCTCCGTAAAGTGGCAAATGCTTAAGAGGGCCAAGAGGGATCGAACCGGATCGAGAGACATTTGATGTCATGCATCCACACACAACAAACCCTAATCCCCACGTGTCATCTACTCATATTTGAAAGATTGTATCATGGTCTATTAAAACAATTCTGACAAACACATGCACATCATTTCGGCTGTTGGCCAGGAGCAAAGGTCTTAGGTTGTTTTGCTTTCTGCCAAGTAGTGATTACTGCAGTTTAGACTCAAGATGGTCTTCATCAATTCATCAACCAGTTCGAATCCCGCCTCGGCCGCCACTGCGTCAGGCCGTCGTGTCCTTGGGCAAGACACTTTAGCCGCATTTGCTCCTGTGGGTAATGTCCGCAGTAATGACTCTTACATGTCTAATATGTGTAATGTGTAAAGCGCTGTGTAAATATGTGTAATGTCTAAAGCGCTTTGAGCACCTGTAAAAGCGCTCTAATAAAAAAATGTAATGCATTATTATTATTATTATTATCAATTACAAGTTTATAATATTCCTGTGGTAAAAATTGGGGAGGAAAAAGAAGAAATATCACAAACGAGGTGCTGATTATGTGCTAGAATACTTCAAAGTAAAAGAACGGTTTTTAAATATAATTGTTATAATTTTCACAAGTTCTATATCAATCAAAAAAAATTTGAATTTAATTTAAATAATAAAAATACTTTACCCTAAAATTCACGAACGTAAACTTAATTAGGTTAATAATGAAAAATAAATAAGAAAATAAAATCACAATGCTCACTATGTTACGGAAGTCTACAAAGGAGATGATGCAGAGAAACAGGGACTTTAGCCTCTGCAGACCATTTACATGCACCGAAACCTCTAAAAACACACTCAAGGGGAAAACCACCAAAATCATAATAGATGAGTAACACCGACGTCGCTTCCGGGCGAAAATGACGGCCCCGCCCACTTTTGGGGAAAAACAACGCTGTCATTCGAATGGCGATCAAAACAATCAATGTTTATTTTTATGTTTATTTATATAGCCCAATATCACAAATGTTACATTTGTCTCAGTGTGTACAGAATGTCAGTATGACAATACGACACCCTCTGTCCTTAGACCCTCTGTCCTTAGACCCTCTGTCCTTAGACCCTCTGTCCTTAGACCCTCTGTCCTTAGACCCTCTGTCCTTAGACCCTCTATCCTTAGACCCTCACATCGTACAAGGAAACACTTCCGGAGAAAACCCACAGTTTAAAGGGAACATGGGAGAAACCTCAGGGAGAGCAACAGAGGAGGGATCCCTCTCCCAGGACGCACAGACGTGCAATAGATGCCGTGTGTACATTGAAATACAAATTCTGAAGTTTTTGCCAATCCGATCAGAATTATTTGAAAACGGTGGATTTTTGGATCTTCAAAGAGCCCGGTTACGATGGCCAGTCAGGCTAACAATTACATTCAATCATTTGAAATCGACAATCGGTCTTGATATATGGTTAAATTAAAATCAGTAGGCGAGGCTGTAATTTCTCCAGCTGTTACTCTCATGAGCGAGGCGGAACATAATAGTTGTATCATGCCAAAAAGCTGCTGTGTCGTTTATTGCACCTCAAACATTAAAACAAATCCAGAGTTCAGTGTTTCTGAACTTCCTCTAAGAAGAAAGGACAGTAACAGAAGAGCTCTGTGGCTTCAGGCTCGATCGCCATTCAAATGACGGCGATGTTTCCCCCAAAAGTGGGCGGGGCCGTAAAGTGACATAGATGTTACTCTCATCTATGAAAATCGACAGCCTACTGCTATATTTAACCATATATCGAGCCCGATCGTCGATTTCTAATGGCTTAATGCAATTGTTTGCCTGTCTGGCCATTGGAACCGGGCTCTTTGAAGATCCAAAAATCCACGGTTTTCTTAAATTTCTGATCGGATTGGCAATAACTTCAGAATTTGTATTGACCGCCGTTCAAATGACAGCTTTGTTTTCCCCCAAAAGTGGGCGGAGCCGTACTTTTTGCCCGGAAGTGACGCATCTGTTACTCTCATGTATAGGACCTCTTTAACATCAGACTTCCTGTTTCACTCTGTATGAACTGTTATCTGTGACATGTTGTGCATTCTCAGACATCATGGATTAAAGTTGGAGGCAATCCCAGTTCACATTTACTGGCAAAATTACCCCTCTCTCTAAAACTTGGCGTCTGACCTGCAGTTTCTTTCTGGCCCCCTAATGATGATGAAGTGGCAATAAAACGCCTTCATGTTTAACCTTAGTGGGTTTCTTTGACAGAACAGCATCACCAGATCTCCAGTAACAGCTCCTTTAGTGGCTACCAAGTCTCTGCTCTGTAGCATTTAAGTGCTTTCTATGGCTGGAAATCAAACTGTGCATCATGTGCTGTGAGGCCTTATGCTTTACATGTTGAGCCAAGTCAGAGCAGTTAGAAAGGCGATGCATACATGCATTTACTCCATGGCGGGGGGGTGGTTGGCATTGGGATATATCTTTTTTAAATCCTCTGGAGCAGAGAGAGGAGCTGTGGATTATTGTTATTGATTAATGCATCAGTGTTTCTTAGGGTCAAAAACACTAAACTCACAACTTCAAATTAGGGCTGTCAAACTTTAAAAATGTTATCAAATTAATCACAGCTTAAAAATTAATTAATCATGATTAATCACCATTCGAACTATGTCCAAAATATGCCATTTCTTTATATTGTTGTGGGAATGGAAAGATAAATGAAAGAAGGCGGATATATCCATTTAACACAGTATCTATGTTTATTATAACATTGTTCTGCGTGTCAAAATGAAAGACAGCCCACACACCTATCAATCATCAAACCGTGGGGTCTTAATTCATTACGGGGGGGGGCTAGTGGAGTACTTTGTGACCACAGAGCGTGAACGTTGTGATCAGCTGTTTTAGCGCAGTTCTCCAGTGAAGGGGGGGGAGTCTCCCTCCGTAGCCGGTTGGCGTAGTTTTGGCACAATTCCGTTGTACAGACCGACGTTAACAGCAGCCCTGTCTGTGCACACGGAGACCGACTCTGTCGTCCGGTGATCTAACCGCCTTCTGGAAAAGCTTCACAAGTACCTCGGTACGCAAATGCGCTTTGTGACACAAGTGACCGTACGCATTTCAGATTGTTGCCGCGCATGCGTAGCTGCGTACCAGTTATGTGCACCCCTGTACTACAGCAAAAGTATTCTCCGTCGGGACTTCCTGCAACAACACCACGCCGTTATCTTGATTCTGATTGGCCAGAAGACATTATCAAAGATGTTCTATTGAGAAGACGATCACTACCTGACAAAAGTTTTCAAAACCGTTTCTGGTCTTCGGTATTTCCAGACAAGTGGCTGAAATCAATCTGACTAACTGCTGTCTGTGCAATTTATTCGACTTTATTTTGCTTACTGTAACATCATTTTTCATGATGGGGCTAAGCCATTTCTTGGTATGGGTGTAGCCTACCCCAGCCATACCCTGGCGCTGCCACTGGTGGGATGTATGGGGCGGGCCATTCTGCACATGCGTTAAATGCGTTAAATATTTGAACGTAATTCAAAACATTAATTACCGCCGTTAACGCGATAATTTTGACAGCATTACTTAAAATTAAAGCGTTTAGTTTATTTAATAAAAGAGCACATGTTCAATGTGAAAAGTGACAGAAGATAGAGATTAGTTGCAATTTGGTGCTAAATATATATATATATGTATATATATACATATATATACACACAAATTATTATTATTATTATTATTATTTTTTAAACAGCTTCAATTTCAGGGGGGGCGCGGGGCTCCGTTGGCGGGGGTGCAGCGCCCCTCCAAGACAATGGTAGGGGAAACACTGAAGTTATATACATAACAACCTTGAAATAGACCCTTCATATTTCCTCTTCTTAGAAGCAATCTAAGCTTTAGTTTTAAGGAGTGAGCTGCCAAAACAATAAATGAAACCCTCTGGAGGGAGCTGTTTTTTTCTTAAAGCATTTTCAAGTATCAAGAATAATTGACCTACATCGGATTGATTTTTCCAATTTATAACGTAACTTATGAGTCAAAATACCTCTAGTGAGTGACCCAGCCCTTCGTATATGTGTCTGTACGTGGCCCTCAAATGTGGACACCCCTGCTCGATGCTATTCTTCTGTCTCGGGCTCTCTTTCAATGAGATTAGGAAGTCATTAAGCAATGAAGTCAGTGAACATCAGCTATTCAGGTACTGGGTTTCACTGCAGAATAATCTTCCTCTGAAAGAGTTGTGACACGAACTGTGACGGAAAAATAAATAGCACTTAATTGGTGTTTTCAGTATCTGGCACTTCATGCAGAACTAATATCCTTCTTGAAATGCTGTAGGATTATGGGATTCATGTTTTGATTGGGATCAAATAAAAGTCACTTGGAGTTAAAAGGAATAACTAATCCAAGCTTTAAATCACATTGATAGATCTTGAAAAGCATGTTTGACGATACTGTGCCGTCGGCCAAAGAAATCACTCTGATTGGCTGTTCAGCTAGCGAATCAGTGCATGAGAAGCGAAACGGAAGTGAGGGACCCAAACTAATGATTAAGAAGGCAAATCTGAGATTTCCTTTACCTCCAGCTCTCGACTCAGGTTCGGGAAAGCCCCGTGAGCTTCTCGCTGTAGAGTGAAAATGGAACGCACTCGCTATTTGTTGTTTATTTATATCACGCGGTCTGTTCTTCTTCTCTCGGTGTATCACGCAGTCTGTCTTCCGGTTGTTGCCTCTTTTGAATGACGAATACACACTACCGCCGCCTGCTGGTAAGGAGAGTTATTGCCACTCACGCATGCGCAGTTCGTACGTGCTACTTGGCCGTCGGCTGAAGTCTTTGCGGTGTGTTCCAGTGCGACTGTTGGCCAAGACGCAGAGACGAGAGGCGACACAACAGTCGGGTCCGTCGGGACGTGTTCTTTGGTGTCAGTTTGGTGTATCAGGGCCTTAAGAAGGCAAACCACAGCTTGGTTGGTAGTTGCTGTCCAATTGTTGATCATTTAATAATACTTATACTGTATTAGAGGAGTTATTTCCTACCTGTAGTGGCAGAGGACCGTGAGGAAGAGACGTCCGGTGAGTTTCTGTCAGGAGTCGAGCTAAGCCATGGAGTCAAACCTGGGAGGAGAGAGAAAGAAGATAACATAAATATCACAAATGCAACTTTAAGAGATGATCTAGTAAAACCAAAGGATTGCAGTTAAATGGCATTTTCAATCCTGGTACGTATTTTAAATGCAAGTCTAAAGTGAGTTTGGTTAGGTTCAACTCTTTTCTCCGAGTCCAGACATGTTGGCTTTCGCTGGTCTCCCTTTCTGTGTTTGTTCCAAAAAAAGGCAACTTTTGTCAATGGAAATGCAAGAGACGTTAACTAAAGATAAAGCTTTAATATTAGAGACAACACCACTAAGAAACAACCCCAAAACTAACGGTATTTTCTTAAAACGGTTGAGTCAAATATATAATAAAAAAGGATTAGATCTCAGAGAGTAGAGACCAAAGTAATGCGGTATATTGTCAGGTAGATTTCAAATACAAGGGATTTGCTTTGGTGTGTTGGCGCGAAGACAAGAGACCTACATTCCTGTAAAAACCTGTATTCAGAATAGAAAAACATGAATTTAAAATAAATATGTACATACTAGTGTTGCTAGGTGTACCGATACTTGAAAGGTACCGCGATACCCTGCCGTTAAAAACGTTACGATTCCTCCGTTTCATTAGTATCGGTACTTTAAGAATGACGGGGAAAAGTACTCCGGTGAGAAAGCGCTGTTTTAATAAGAGCCGTGTGTGTTCAGCGCTCTGCTTCCACTCCCTGCACTGCAGCAGTGCCTGCAGTCCCTCCCCTCTCAAGCACGCTCCAAGTCCCTCCCCTCTCAAGCACGCTCCAAGTCCCTCCCCTCTCAAGCACGCTCCAAGTCCCTCCCCTTTCAAGCACGTTCTAAGTCCCTCCCCTCTCAAGCACGCTCCAAGTCCCTCCCCTCTCAAGCACGCTCTAAGTGCCTCCCCTCTCAAGCACGCTCCAAGTCCCTCCCCTCTCAAGCACGTTCTAAGTCCCTCCCCTCTCAAGCACGCTCTAAGTCCCTCCCCTCTCAAGCACGCTCTAAGTCCCTCCCCTCTCAAGCACGTTCTAAGTCCCTCCCCTCTCAAGCACGCTCTAAGTCCCTCCCCTCTCAAGCACGCTCCAAGTCCCTCCCCTCTCAAGCACGCTCCAAGTCCCTCCCCTCTCAAGCACGCTCCAAGTCCCTCCCCTCTCAAGCACGCTCTAAGTCCCGCCCCTCTCTCGTGCACGCGCTAGCTGCCAGAGCATGTGAGAAAACGAGAAGCATGGCTGCAAGTGGGAGTGCAACTGCCGCTGCGCCTCGGCTTGTTGACAAAAAAGACGCCAGAAGCGAAATTTGGAAGTATTTTTTTAGCGATATCTCTGACAGTGAGGGCAAGCCTACGGACACCACGAGGCCTGTCTGTAAGACATTTATTAATTTTATTTAATACGAATTCTTGTCATTTATTTTATTTATTGTTCTCATTGTTTAAAAGTTCGTGTTCTGGTTCTGGTGTGAAATAAAGCACAATAATTACATTTAAGACTGTTTCCCTTTTTTAAGTAAAGTATCGAAAAAGAATCGGAATTCTTGACTTGGTATCGGTATCGAAACCAAAATGTTGGTATCGTGACAACACTAGTACATACATGACTTTTGGAAAATAAAAGGCCACGGAGAACATGTTAAGAGTAAAAACTTGTAACTTGTATTCATGTACCTGTGTTATTCATGTTTTATTATCTTTGCTTTTTAATGTTTCTAATGTGTTTTATGCTCTTACGGCCCGTCCACACGGCGGCGTGTGTCCGGGGCGGGAGGTTCATGCGATTGGTTGTTGGTCGAGCTTCAGACACGCCCACCGGCAAGCTTCAACGCACGCCGCTGCGTTAATGTCTTTCATTTTTGTAAAGCACTTTGAATTGCCTTGTGTTGAAAGGTGATATATAAATAAACGTGCCTTGCCTATACTATAATATCATAAAGTCCAGAAAGATGTGCATTTATGTAACACAAATGATGCTTACAAATGAAAATCCATTGAAATAGAAACACATTTACATTCAGAGTACAAAAGATTGAATACATGTGTTTGAAGGTGAGTGGAGACAAGCAGACGATAAGCACCACTTAAAGAGGCCTGAATGAAACTCAGGGTCTGGGATGTGTAGAGGTCTCTATGACAGTGGAAGTGGACCCTCCGTGCAGAGACAAAGAAACTGAGTATCAACGAGTTCAGAGCTGTAATGGAGCATCAGGCTGCAGCGAATACAAATCAATCAAATGCACAGAAGCTTTCCAGACTCTTCAGGACGATAGCTTATAAAACTAGATTACGGTTGGCTTGATGTGTCAAATTACAGACGCTCAGCAGATAAAGGTCTTGTATATATCTATGTTTGTATTAATGTTCCTCCCTCACTGCAGCATCAAGACTGTGCAGACTTTAGACCTTGATTCCCTAAAAGTTTTTTTTAGTACATTTCCCTAGAAATATAGTATTTGCGCAAAAGTACACACTTTGCGGCGATTGATGTTGACTTCTTGCAGGTTTGTGGCATAGAAATAGGAAATGTAATGACATACTAATATGAAAAGATGTATTAAATTGATCTGATATCGATATGGTGATGCGATATTACATTAGTAATTTAGTGGGTTATGATACAAATTGGGTTTTTATTACGCAATAACTCATTATATCCCCATTTCTGATCATTAATAATCAAAAATCTCATTGTGTAAATTGTGTAGGAGCAGAGTCCACCCAGGTGTATTTCATATCAACCAGGCCTAGTATTAAAGGTGGGGTAAGTTTGAGAAACCGGCTCGAGTGCGCTAGAGTTTGAAAATACACGACCGGAGAAAATCTGCCCCTTCCTTCCAGAGCCCCTCCTCCAACACACACGAACGCGCACATGACCAATGAGGGCACGAGATAAGTTTGTGCACAGATGGAAGGCTGACAGGCAGGTAGGCCATCCAGTTACTTTAGCCGGGCCGGCTAAAATGATTGGTCGTGCTTTTTACAGCGCCACGGCTTCCACAGATGACTTTTATTAATGTATTTATTGTCAAAGCATTTAAGATATTCATTGCTATCGGGATGTTAAGAGCATTCCATGGAATATAACAACAAGTGTATCTCGAGCCGGTTTCTCAAACTTACCTACCCCACCTTTAAATGATTAAATTAAAAAGTACAAAAAAAACTACACTACACCTTTTAATCTTTTGCAACACAACATTTCCAAAAGTTAAATATGTTAGAAAAAACACACTTGATCGAATTGCTAGAAAATGCTTTTAAATCTTCAGAAACAAAGTGACAGAAGTATTCCAACCGTCAGAACACTCCATGTTGTTTGTGTTTATGAACTTGTATATGGAAACAAGGCTAGGTGAACAAGTGAAAGGGAGAAAGGAGGCTCAAAGGAAACAAACGGTCACGGCTGTGGGATAAACATCAGAATCTCAGAGCAGATCCAGATGGCCGCGCTGCGTGTTTCTCTTCTAATGGCAACCGGTACCATGTGTTTCATTAAAGAGCACACACACACACACGGTAAACACACACCAGGTAAAGTCAGAGGTGGGCTCAACAGCAGAGGGAATAGAGTGGAGCAGGAACGAGTCCTAAAACCAGGAAGTGAGTCAGCATGTTACCACTTCCGGTTCCCTCGTCTCGGAGTCAACGGGGTTTTTGGAAAATAGCTGGAAATAAGTTCTGTGGTTGAAACACGTTGAAGAGACGGGTCACGTTTTGTTCTACGACATTAAATCCATCAGCAGTGAGCAGTGGTGATTTCTGAAGAGTTCACGTGTCTGAAAAACGATGGTTGTTACCAAGTGGCTGAATAGGAAGTTGTGGAGGCCGTTGTACGTCATTACGCCGAACACGTGAACACTCCTCTAAGTTTGTTTGCCACTGTTCAAACAAACGCTTCAACTCGTTCCATCTAGAATCTGTGTGTTTGAATACGGATCTTAAGTTGACGTGATGTTGAAGTCGTGCTGCTGGACTCTGCTGTAGTTCCTTTATAGCATAACGTTAGCATTTAGCTTCTGGCGATTAGATTTATGATTAGAAAATTATAAAAGTAGGATAGACATGTGGAGATTATCACAAAACATGCATTCATCAAACCGGTTTGTTCTCCACAGATCTCATCTTTTTACAATATTCGAAAACCCTATGGAGAAGTCCCGTTGCTTTTTTGTGGAGGGAACCCATGCGCAGCTTACTTCCGGGTCGGCCTACAAAAATACGTCATCACTGCACCGTGACTCTATAGAAATGTAAGCACAGTAATATTTGGTTCTGCTCAGAGGGAGGCAGTGCTGTGTTTTCCTGCCACTGGGTGTGTGTGGTATTTGAAACCCTGGCACAGGTGATGAAGCTGCATTGTATTGTGCTCCAACAATAAATATCAAGTGAACCCATCCCTTCCCTGTCAGCACGTAACCTATGCACTTGGTAAACATGTGGGCCGACAACCTCTGCTCAAAACAACATGTATTTAAGACTAATTGATATCCTGTTTCCGCTGCACCTTGATAATTGCAATCTAAAATACATAGAAATAAGATTCTTCCCTTTCCTCTATGAAGCTTAGGGTGAATTCACACCTAGTCCGTTTTCTGGTGCGCACCAGACCACAGTTTGTTACATCGTTTCATTTTTCAGAAGGTTCGGTTTGCGTTCACACGGCAAAACTCAAACGGACTATAAACTTTAAACACAAGTCATGTGCACGGAAATGCTGTTCAACCATTGGTCAGACATTAAAAACGCAAATCCCGGCAATTTCTACCGGAGCCTCCGCCATGGAGCATCGGCACTTTCGGCAGGTTATTCTCATGCTGCTGTTAGTCTGGAGATCAACAGACACTAGCGGCCCGCGCATATGATTATATAATCAGACAACGTCCGTTAAAAAACATTATAACACACATAATGAGACGTTCTGCAGTCAGGAGGGCGTTTCACCGACGACAGGTGTTCTTACTTTTATCTAGCTGACGGAGAATTTTTACATTACACGACACTGTTCAACACTTCATTCTGCT